AGTTCAATTACTCACTATCTACACACACATTACATTACCGTCACGTTGTCACCCTCTTTTATATACCAGACTACCCTATATCTAGTAAATGCTAGAGCATTCGCCAAAGTACAGGATAGATCTAGAAAGTAGAGGGCGTGAGAATAGTCACGTGATCTCGAGAACGCAACACTATAACTGCTACTGGAGACACTGATATTCAGTGACATTGCTGAGCTCGAATCCAGAATTCTCAACCTCCTGCGTCTGTTACTTCAGTTGAGCCGGCCCCATCTTGTGTTTTGCTATTGTTGTTTCAACACCTGCTTTAGCTTCTTGTTCCCTCTTCCAACGTGGATCAAATAGTTCCATTTTTGTCCCTCACTGCTTGGAATCCTCAGGAATGTGACTTTTGTTTTCTCTTTCTACAGTAATTTCGTGTTGAATGTCGGGTTAAGATGCTGTATGAGCCTTGTTTACTAATTTCGTTTTACAGTTTATGGATCTCCTCTTGCTCTCTATACATTTTCATCTCTTACTCAATTTTTTGTTTATTCTGATGCTTTACATTCATTTGGAGGCTTTTCATTGCTACACTATCAGCTTTACCAAGGCAATTTGCACATACCTGTTTTCTACATTTGCCCTCAATTAACTTCCAGTTACTTTAGTTTCATTTTGCTTTGTCAAACTGTCATTTTTCTGACTTTCACCTCCCTAAATATCCTCTCAGAGATCTCTGTTTTGCACATTTTCTCTGTGATTTGTTTCTCTGTGTGAAGAGGGAGCATTTCTTATACATTTGCCTCTTTAGCTTATACAGTTCTTTATGTGTCATTTCTTTTCACTTTGGTTTCTTGCTTTTGAGACCAGGGGCATCACCAACTTTCTAGTTATATATTAATTTTTGGTGTCATCCCTCTTATTTTCTTTGTCTTCTTGTTCCTTTCCATGCTCCCCCTCATTTAAGAGCTGGTGTTTTCAGTGGATATGATTTTACTATGGGCTTCCTATCGTCTCTGTCTTTCTACCTCCATTCTACTCCTCATTTCCACCCATTTGGTATCCAGTCCCAGACTCTACAAGTAATCGACGTCTCCCGTAAGAGATCTTGCAGGTAGATAAGTGGATGACCCCCTACCAATAGTTTGTGTCCAATGTTTTGCCAAGATACCACGTCATTTTGTCCTTTTCTTAAAATTGAGATGTACTTTGTATTGGTTGAAAAATGCAAGCTTTAGGGATGCTGTAGTGCTGGCATAACCAGAACAAGACAGTGAGTTCCTGTTGGACATTGACAGCAGCAATAATGAAATTCAGCAAATATTATTGCTGTTTTAGGATGGAAGATAATGTGTAATCACGTATGATATTCCTATAGTCACGGCTCCCAAACACAGATACAGTACAATGAAGTCAGAACGGCTTGCAGTTGTGGTTTTTATGAAACTTTATTGACACTACTTGTATGACAGAAGGTCTACGGTCCTGGTGGACCATGATTTGCTGAAGGGGTTGATGAACTTTAAAAATTTGGATGAGATGATAGCACATTGGATAACAACATTGCAGTAATATGACTTTGTCACAGTGCATCAACTGAGCCCAAAATACAGAAATATAGATGGACTATTGCCACATGGTGAGACCTTGTCCTTCCTTGGAATATTGTTATTCTAGAAATCCTGTAGCGGTTGCAACCATAGCCATTTCTTTTATAGTAACGTCAAGACACAAAGCACTAGGTTTTACTATTTGATGGATGCCACAATTAACAATTCTGGAGAAACAGGAAGAGCAACTGAAGGGCCAAGGTTTAGAATGGATGTTCCTTGCCATGCAGTAAGGTAAAGTTCAACCACCACTAATAGAAGAATGAAGTATTAATCTACATAACCTGTGCCACTTATATGACCAGTGAATTGCTGACTTTTCAATTTTACTGCAACTAATTGTCCCCAAAACTCTTTGGCATAACACAAAGACAAGGATATTACTCACCCTTGTGCAGTTCTTCTGGCTGCAACAAATTCGAGATGTTCAGTGCTGGTGTGAAAACTCTACAGTGTCCCCCCCCCCAGCAAAAGAACCAGCTTAAACAGGGTAAATTCCAATAGAGAGTTGGTGGGTCTCCTTTGAAGAGGATAACCATATATGTATTGCTGGTCTACTCCTGGAGGGTAAGAAAGGACATCAGTGTTTATTCATCACTGTCGAATACTTCACAAAGTTGGCCAATAGTTATAAATTGGCCAATACATATTTCACTGATTAATTTGCCATTGAATAGAATAGTGTGGAGCACTGGAAGGGATCCACCATTCTTTGAGTTCCATAAAGTGTTGGGTGTGGTGAAGATGTATCTTATCACTCCCAGTTTCATGGTTTGGCAAAAATGGGGGATACAGACTACCAGCAGGTGCTTATCAAGTTTGTTATCTTTGACCAAATCTACTGGAATGAACACTTGCCTCATGTGATGATGGCACACAAAGCAGATATATGCAGGCTGTTTACCAAACATATTTACATTTGAGCAGGAAATACTACTTCTTGTTGATGAGATGTATGGTCTACCCACATGAAAAGATGTTTTACAATGTCCACAGTAATATGTGTAATGATTAAAATTTACAATAGTGTCAATATATGGAGGTTTATCTGACAACAATTGGGAAGTTTGTTTAAAGTCAGAAAATGTGTAACAACAACTTGATAAAGGAATGGATTAAGTCAGCTTGTGTTATGTGCCAGCAGTATGGAAGCAACATGGATCTGTATGAACTGGTTTGTGCCTGGTACTCTAGCAGGTTATTCCACTGATGTACGAGTTACAAAGGATGCGAGGCACTAATGCACGTGGAACATGTCAATAAACTTTAACCATACATCACAGACAAGAAATCTGAAGCTGAAACTGATATATCAGAAGAGGATGAGGATACTGTCTGTCAGGTTTTATGTATGAGCCTGACTCTTTACAGTGGGTGTTTGTGATTTGTTGGTGATAACTTTCGGCAATAAACGGACAACACACAGTCCAATTGTTTTAAAATAATATATTTAAACAAGTCAAATTTATACACAAATGTTCGTTACACAATTATATCGAGAGCTTTAAATAATTGTCTCTTTTCGTCAAGGCCTATACAGGCTGGTTCAGTTACTTTAGAACACAACTGACAAGTCAAATTATTTCTTTTATACTCTGTTATTACAAGTTTTTTTCGAGTATTATTACATTGTTAAGTCTCTGCTCGTTTGATAATTTCCGGTAGAAATTCTTCCCTAGAAA